ATACTTCGTTTTACTATTTTTGAATACTTTACGCCCAAGGCTAAGGGTTTTATTAAGTAATTTAAGGGACGATCGATTTTATTTGTCCATAATTGACAAACATATATACAACATACAAAATAAAAAAAACAACCGACAGTCTTTCTAATACAAAGCCGCGTCGTTACACAGATTTCGGGAACAAATCTCGCAGTCACGTTGGTTTGAGGCGGGACATCCACTGCCGACACAATCTCTGATAGTACGTTGAGTATTGGTCTGAACGTACATAATGCAGTTGCCACTGCAATACGTGGTGTCCGAGGTTGCCGATTGGAGTGTTTTGCAGTAGTGATTCGTACTGTTGCAATAGTAGCACTCTGTCCCTGTTTATTGTTATCAATTATGTAATGTCAGTTTCAGATAAATTGAGCAAACTTACCCACAACCACGGCGCCACAGAGAAGAACGGTAGCTAACAGAACTTTGAAATACATGTTTCAGAATAACTAAACGGTATAGTGCCGATCGTCGAATTTATACCCGTGGATGAAGGATACAATTTAAAAATAGATCATAATTTTATGATCAAAACACTTACTTAAAACTGATGAAGATAGCAGATAAAACACTCTAGATTTGAATTACATACACCGCATACACGCGGATGAAACAAACATAAACAAAATCGCAACATTTCCGAAAAATCTGTAGGTCCCTCTGAATGGTATATGCATTCAATATAAGTCATTGAAGTACGAGGCTCCATTTGGGCCGAGTACCTTAATTTCCGAGTCAAATAGTGTCATTTTACTGACGAGTTTTGTATTAAATTTTACCCAAAATAGTATTTTAATATCAAATTTCAATTTTCATACAGAACTTTTGATTAATGTCAATCTGTCAGTGATGACAGGAGTCATTATAGACTTGACCAATGTGACAGGTGCGGCCGGAAAAGTCGTTTTACTGCCTCTTGTCATGGAAACCAAAATTTCCTGAGATAAAGTAGGCATGAAAATGAAGGGTTCATGACGTTTTTGATGGGTAAGTTGGGATCAAATTACTCCCTAATTTTGTATAAACCTTTACAAGGCGCTAAAAATATATTACGTATCATTTACTACAGCGTTTCTAATCTGCAAATAGAAAAATATAATCGATCAGTAATAGACACAATCCCGAACTTCAAAACACTTGGATATTGATATAACTGATAATCCCCTGACAAATATTATGTATTTCTCAATAAAATTGATCAAAACAACTTCATAAAAAAATGATTAAAATATACCGTAAGTTTGATTAATTCTTAGGGGACAACAAACTAGGGATGGCCAATTTTTGTCACTCCAACAAATCCCCACTAGGAAATTCAAATCACTCCACACAAATACAAATTTATCGCAACAAAATGACACACATCGGCAAATTCAAAAATTCAAATCTCCCAGACAATTTCAAACTTACCGCCACAAAATGGCGCAACCAATCACAACACAGCACGTCTGACGTCATAAAAAAGTGGAGATGATGGCAGATTGATTTCTACTAGTAATAGCACGCGAGTGTCTCTAATAGGTAAAGGTTAGATAAAGGTGACCAAGAGAAACGCAGAGTAATAAAGAAACGGAATTGTCAAAAAAAAAATTTCAAATAGAATGATGTATGTATAGGGTGGTTCAAATTCGTGACCCACCTAGGATACTGCAATATTACATACTGTAGCAAATATTTCATAAATCCCGGTACAAATCGAAGCGCCATGAAAGATGAGTCATCGGCGAAGGCGGATATGGCGCAATCATTCCGAGAGAACTAACGCGATTATTGTTGAACATTCCGAAGCGTTCTAAGAGCATTCTAGAACAATTGTTCTTTGCTATATAAGCAAACGGAATTGCGTTTTCATTTTCAGTCAGTTCCAACATCGACGGCTTGAGTTATATTATGAATCATGAGTGATAAATAATAATTAATTTAACCCATTTTAAGATTGTTATAAATTTATTGTGAATTATTTGTAAATAAATAAACGACGTAATTAAATTTACGTTATTACTATACTAGTACTAGTCAATGTATATACTGTATCCATGGGGATTTCCGAAACCATAGAAGATACGATGATGGTTAAATCAGAGAAAAGATGCGCAATTAAAGAGGTATTATGATGATTTAAAGAAAAAATAAGAAAATTCCGATTACTCCCGTAGATATGCCAGAAAAACCGCCATTTTTCTGGCATTATTTGCACAGATACAGAAGAAATTGAAAATACTTTCACGTTGCCATTATTTGAGCTATACAAGACACCGTTGAGAGATTTCCAACACAACGTTTCGTTTCGAAGAAATCATCATCAAGTTTATTTTTGTATATGACTCGTACAAAAAGTACACACTGTATTGAGTAGTATTTTTTAGGTTGATCTATTGTATATTTTAGGTTTATATAGGTAAAAAATATCAAAAAACTTTTTGTGCAAATGTCAACCATAGATAGTTGTGCATCTACAAAAACCATTTTTGAATGTACAGGGTGGCCAACTAAGAATGTGAGGTACTGTATCTGAGAATCTATCCATCGCAGAGGCTTGCGGTAAAAAACTTTATTACTAAAAACGGCCACGAGCAAAACCTGGAAAATATTTTTAAGTTTTTGAAATGACTGCTAGGGGGCGTAACTGCAATCTGGAATCTAAAAAACTGATGTTTCTGTGAATTCCGCTACATTAACCTAACAAAAAAATGTCCGGTCTTTGAAGTTGACGATAATCTGAACAATTTTTGTTTGACAATTTTTCCTGTATCTCTAAAAATGAAGTGGTGGGGGGTATTCAAAGGTTTCCGTAAAGAACACCCTGTCTCATGGAAACGGCTACGCCGATTTAAACAAACTCGGGTTCGTTCAAAAGAGCTCTTCGTCAGCTACAAATATTATACTATTTGAAGTTTTGTTAGTTTCACATATCACCGCTTGAGGGCTTTTTTCGACATTCTGACAGAAATGGTTAATTTTCTCAAAAAAATTAAATGCATTGGTTCGCGAAAACAGCATCTTGATATCTTGAGATTTATATATATATATATATTTTTATATCGTGGTGGCCAGCATTTCGGGCATTTACGGCGGCATTAAAAGCTTCCTTTTTTAAATTGATCCACCTTAGGGGCACAAATTATATAATAAAAATAATTCCGGAAAAATTCGCTTAAAAAAATAAAATTTTGAGGGTATAAAATTTTCTTTGGCCTAAATTTTAGTTTAGGAACAAGATATCGAGATGAGGTTTTCGCGAGCTTGTTTAGGAATCATTTAGCTACTTTTTCATAAAAAAAATCGAACCAACGCATTTAATTTTTTTGAAATTAATCATTTCTGTCCGAATGTCGAAAAAAGCCCTCAAGCGGCGATATGTGAAACTAACAAAACTTCAAATATTATAATATTTGTAGCCGAAGAATATCTCTTTTCAATTAACCCGAGTTTGTTAAAATCGGCTCAGCCGTTTCGAAGATACAAGGTGTTCTTTACGGAAACCTTTGAATATCCCCCACCACTTCATTTTTAGAGATACAGATACAGGAAAAATTGTCAAACAAAAAAGGTTCAGATTATCGTCAACTTCAAAGATCGGACATTTTTTTGTTAGGTTAATATAGCGGAATTCACAGAAAAACCATTTTTTTAGATTCCAGATTGCAGTTACGCCCCCTAGCGGACATTGCAGAAACTTAAAAATATTTTCCAGGTTTTTCTCGTGGCCGTTTTAGCAATAATTTTTTTTACCGCAAGTCTCTACGATGGACAAGTTCCCAGATACAGTACCTCGCATTCTTATTTGGTGTCCCATTTTTACGGTATCAATAGACAACTGATTTTTTTAAATAGAACACCCTGTATATTTTTAGTTGTTTTGATGTCATTTTTTAACCTCTGTATGGAAACCTATTCACTTTTTGGTTTTTTGTCAATGTGGCCAAATTATTAATTTTGTTCCGAACAATTTCCCATAAGCAAGGCCCACTTTGATAAATCGTAGCGATCTTTAAAGTTAAGAAATACATTTCATCAATGAAGTTAATGAACACTTTGGTAATGAGAAAGTTGGATTTAGTGATACAGGGTGTTCACAAAAAAATAGTAAAGATTTCTAATTACAAAGTGTTATAACTATTTTTTTTCAAATGGAACTACAACTATTTTATTTCTTTATTCCAGTGGTGCTCAAACGGTCGATCGCGAATGCTTTTTGAGTCGATCTCGAGAAAAATTTGCGATTTTCAGAGCAGACCTACACATCTACATTGACTTAAAAAGAATGGAGGCGGCGACACCAGGCATATGTCAAAGTATCAAGTATCAAATACTGAATATCCTAAAAAATACGGGGTTTTGGCACAGAGTGCCCCTTACAAAAATTGAAGAGCATACAACAGACTATTGAAGAGAGAAATAAAATAGTGGTAGTTTCATTTGAAAAAAAAATAGTTATGGCACTTCGAAATATGGAAATTTTGCTTTTTTTTGTGAACATCCTGTATCACTAATTCAACTTTCTCATTACCAAAATGTTGCCTTTTATTAGTGGGCGTGTCTTATAGAGAATTATTCGGAAAAAATTAATAATTTGGTAAAAATATACAGGGTGTTCCGTTAACAAAATTTAGTTGTCTATTGACACCGTAAGAATGGGTCACTCTGTACATTTAAAAATAATTTCTGTAGATCTATAGTTCGCATTTGTACAAAAGGTTTTTTGATGACCAGGTATGAGCTAGGAAAGACCGACGCACTGTTGCAGGACAATGTTCCATATAAATACGAGGGTTGTCCAGAAAGTAACATACGTTTTGAAATAAAAAATTGTAAAGAAAATCTTTTATTATATACATTTGTACATGTGTGCCACGCTATGATAAGCCTCAATATGAAAAATAAGCTAAGAGTGTAGCTTCCAAATGTATATAATAAAAATTGTTTCTTACACTCATTCACTTGACTTGACATTGAATACAGTTTCCAACTTCGGTTTTTTTGTGTCGTACCATCGTTGTATTCGTAATCAAAAAATCCCTTTCGACTCGGGTGGAGGACACTTCCAACAACTACTGTGAATAATTTGGATTCTTTATTTTGTTAGGTTTCCCTTGTCATTTAAGATTTTGAATTTGACTAAATAAATCGCGATTCTTAAAATAAAATTGTCAGTTCTAACCCCGTACGGACGTCACTGGTGAAAATTTAAAAAAATCTTTTACGTCAAAAAGGCTCCTTAATGATGAAATTTTTTTCTTAAAATTTTAACACCCTGTAACTCAAAAACCAAGAGGTTTAGGACATATGTTGATATAAACTTTTCTCCTTAAACTCAATCGAGAATTCACACCCTGTATTATCGACACTCAATTAATTAACACCGTGTATATATCACTCTTAACTTTCGTAATTATGAACCGATTTCGACCAAACTTTAAGGGTTGGTGTCAATCATAAATATCACGGTCAAGTTCGTGAATCAGCCATTTTCGCCATATTGGAACAAAATGGCG